GCAGTGTCCAGAGACTGCAGAAGGGCCTGCGGCGCGCGTGGTCGCCGCTGGGCCGGCTCTCTCCACAGTGTCCAGAGGCTGCATGAGGGTCTGCGGCGCGCGTGGTCGCCGCTGGGCCGGCTCTCTCCGCAGTGTCCAGAGACTCACGCACGCACTCACTCACTCACTCCACTCACTCACTCCACTTTACATCCTGCTAGCACTGCCCGCCGTGGTCGGGATAAGACCACTTGATAGCTTTGATGATCGTTTCGAGTGTGTTACGTTTTGAAGGTCTCATGCGGATCTGATCGCAAAATCCAGAGCCTCCAAACTTCTCTCTCCGCCTCCTTCTCTCTCTCTCTCTCTCTCTCGTCCCTCTCATCCTTGTTCATCACATCGTCAGACACTTTATCACACACCCACACACACACGCACGCCATCTTACCACACACACGCACACACCTCCTCCCTCCCCTCCTTCTCATCCTCGTCCATCACATCATCACTTATACTACACGTCTTAGCACAACCGCCTCATATACCTTCTCTCCTCACACTTCGTTCTTGACTTTTCATCTCACTACTCCGTCTCCCATGTGATGTTCATATACAATTGAAATTTGTAAAACTTATCATGTGGGGTTATCCGGTCCTTTTATTAAATGAGTCTTCTCCAGTCTCCGGCACCTCCGCCTGCCGCCCAGCGGCCACACAAACGTTGCGCTTCCACCCAGGCAGACTGGGCATCAGCCTGGGCACGGACGGCAGGTCAGCAGCTTTCAGGCGGAGCTCGGATTGAACCTAAAACTGAATGCACAGCATTCAGGGCTATTGAAATAGAGAGGCACCTTATTTAACTCATGGGAAGTGGAAACACCAACACTAGACCCAGTGGTTACCCCATTCTCATGCATATGATCATATGATCATATTACGTATGTGTATAGTATGACATTTCAGCCACTTCCAAAACCAGCCCAATGACTTCGCTGCTTTCTGGGTCACCTTGCAGGTGGGTGGGTCCTTCAATGACCCTGACCGTGCCGATCTTCGGAGGATCTACACTCTGACCTACTAAGATATGAAAGTGGATGCTCCATCCACTAGACCATGCTCCATCCATCCACTAAGATATGAAAGTGGATGGCTTAGGCCCCGGAAGAGCATTTTGCTCCAAGGGGGAGTTTGCTCTACGTCCATGTGAATCATGTGGATGTGAGTGGGAGAGATTGTTACAGTACACTCAAACAAAGGATGAATGAGTTCCGACCTCCACCCTGAATAAGTTGAGCCCCATGTGGTTGCCCCCACTCCAAGGGTGGTAGACGTTACCGAGTGGTGTCCAGAGTGCAATGCCAAGCCACTCGGCGTACGTAGTCCACCTGCGCCAAGGTGGATCAAACCAAAAAAGAGAAGGTTGACATAGAGGTGTTGATGAGGTTGAAATGAAGCCTGGGTTTTTCTCAGCTCAAAGGAATTTTGTGATCATTCGTACTTTGGGTGACAGCCCCATGTAATCACAGATCCTGAAGAGGACCTCAACAATTTCGGTGTGAAGCGAGTCTGCCATCTACTCACCGCCTGAATCTGAGATCTGCAATTAAAGTGATAAACCATTGCAACTTGTTCAAGGATCTTCAAGGGTTCGTCTTGCCTGCTAAACATCAACAGAATCTTCACATGTCTGGAACGAATGTTCATCCCGAGACCAGCAGGATCCGTTTCGCAGCTTCTGCAGCTTCGGCAACGGACCACGTGTGCCACCGTGTGGCCCCGCCGGGTCCTTTGGTCCTCCGCGCCTCGAGTAAGGTGGCCAGGAAGTCTCGGACCTCTTTGGGTCCTCGCGGTTGAAGGTATTGGCCCTTCTCCGCTCGTTTGGGGAATTCCTCGGTCGAGTCGAACCGACCGATCCGGCAGGATCCAACGCAGGCGCAACGCAGGCGGCGGCTGCGTGGAGGTGTCTTCACAAAGCAAGCAAACTCTCGAGAAATTGGCAGAATTGACAAATATACATAGTTAATTATAGTTATATGATGTTATAAGACTTTCCTCCATCAGTGCACAGGTAGACTAACTACTCTTTTTGTAGCTACCCTACATCCAAGTAGAGAGACAAAAGCTTTAAATCTTAGACAAGGTTCACTGTAGCTGAAGGCAGGTTTCCCTTCCAACATCAGGAAGAGCAAACAGCCCACCGACCAGCAATCTGATTTGATTTCCTCAGCTGACTGAAACCTCGAACCGTCCTTCACCGCAAGCAGAACTTTGTCTTGCGAACTTGTTAGTTACTGTACAATTTTCGACTGTAGCTCCTGGCATTACTGCTACTAGTAGTAACTAGTAACAAGAAGCTACTAGGTGGAGGCCATCGCTATTAGGTTGGAGGCCATTACTACTAGTAACAAGAAGCCACTAGTACCCAGGCTCGATGTTTCGACCGCCGTTCGACTCGGCCAACCTCTCCAAGGGTCAATTGGTCGGTCCGTGCTGGACATCGCCTCCGAACGCTACGGTGGAGAACGGTGGAGACGGTGGGTCTACTGAGACGTAGACTGCTGTGGATGGATTTGAGCACGAAAGACACTCCACCAGGTGCTTCTACCATTTGCTTCAAGCGCTAAAGATTTGCTTTTATGAGTAGTGCATGTCTTCAAACTATTTGTACAAATAGTAACAAGTGCCTTACTAGTAGTAACAAGAAGCTACTAGAAACGACACCTCCAACGACACCTCCAACGACACCTCCACCACATAATTCTACCCAGCCGGGTCTCCGGACCTGTTCCTGCAAGTGTTTCTCACCGAAACACTTGCGATCCTCCAGTGTTCGTTCGCCCGATCTACCCCATCCCTAGCCCATCCTGTGAATCCAATCCGCTGCATTTCCCCAAGCATTTCTCGTCCCAACCTGCCGTTTCAACTCAGGTGCCATGTAGCTGGCACTGCCCGGCAAGGGGCCCTGGCCAGAACCCATCCAATCGAAACTCGCTGAGTCCAGTTTTGACCCACCCGACACATCCTCCACCAGGAAGGCAGGCAAGTTGAAAAAACGAAATGGTGGAAAGAATGCCATAGTCATTGTCGTGTGGGAAACCTCTAGTCAGGGGCAAAAGGAGAGCCGGAGTACCAAATCCTGCAGGGGATACATGGACAGCAACGACTTGACGCAGAAAATTCTGGCCTTCCGACACCAAATGGCCCCGCCTGGGGGCGATCGATCATCACATTGTTCACGTGCAATCGAGAACTCCTTGGTTCCAAGTCGGTGCGAACGAACTCCTGCGGCTTTCCAACCCTTCCGTCCAATGTACTGCGGCCGGCCGGCCGCATGAGAAACTCAAGACTTGTCCAAGCCACAGCAAAGACCTAAGCCAAAGGTCCACCTCTGATTCTGACTCCAACTGCAAGCAGCTAAGCTACCCATGACCAATTTCATCAAGGTTGACAGGTTGACCTCTTCGCCCTCTTCGGTGCTTTGGAGAGGCGCCCACATCTGCCATTTAATCCCGAGTACCTATTAATAAACACTCCCCAAATTAAAAAACACCACGTCCGAACCCCTAAGTTCGGTTTATATTTGGTTTTAAATTGCCGCCCTTTCAAGCCGCTACTAAACTACCAACATGGTCGATTTTGGGGGTAGTTTTTTTAATTAGGTTCCCCAAAACTCCACCATGACACGCCGCGCTTACACCAGCAGGCTTTCCTTCCCTCAATGGCACGGACTCACGCAAACGCACTTGCCACCGAGGTCATGCAACACCGCATGGCACAGCGACATCACCTTTCGAAAGCTTTAGCTGTTAGTCTACTGAAGAATCACTATTCCAATGAAGGTTTTTGTAGGGGAAAAGGAAGACCCTTCGATCTGGCGGTTTTTTGCATTTTTGATACGAGTTCAATAAAAGATTTTATATAATATTTTCCTGGATTACTTTTTGGTTTTGAAACTCTTTCCAGGTGACCCTATTTTGGCCCCCCCCGATTTCAGGGACCCCCTAATAGAAAAAATGCGACCGAGGTTTTTTTAATAGGGGGGGGGGGGCCGTGTTTATTAATAGGAGGATGGGATTACTTCCT